TTTGGAATGAAATTGCTAAAACCTCCCCCCTCCCCCCAAAACGTTTGCCTGCTATAATGAAGGGGGTCAAGGAAAGCTTCATTTTTAAGTAGGACAACGCCTAAGACTATGGAAAACTTAGAAACATGTGAAATTTTTATCAAAGAACAACTAATACCTAACCTAATCGGTAAAGACACATTAAACCCCCAGTTCCCTGATTTATCTTCCTTACCCCTTAAAATGGGCGGCCTTAACATCAAGCTGCTATCCGACCATGAAAACTATATAGACTGGTCTAAGCAAACATCACTAGTACTGGAATCTCAAAATCCATTCAAAACTGACAGAACAAATCAAAAGAACACCATATAAACTCCTTAATTAAATTTGATAAATACGCAATCGACCTGGCCTCTGAAAAAGAGGCCTCTAACTAGCTCAATGCTTTACCACTAAGATGATAAATTTTCAACCTAAATAAATCAGACGTCAGAGATGGTATTGACTTAAGATAAAGATGGAAACCGACCAAAACCCCACTCACATGCGCATGTGGTGCAAATTTCAACTGACTCATGCTCTACACTGTGCAAAGGGACACTGTGCAAAGGGTGGTTACTCACACATAAGGCACAATGAAATCAGACACACATTCGCCAACCTCATGAACGAGGTTTGCCTGACGTCGAGATTGAGCCGAAACTTCTGCCGTTGCAAGGCGAAAGCTTTGTCAATAATTCAACTACAACTGAAGATGAGGAACGACTTGATTTTAAAGCAAACGGATTCTGGGGTTCACCATTTAGCCGCGCTGTCTTTGATGTGAAAATCTTCCACCCCCAAGCCGAAACATTGCGAAAACTGCATAATGACGCATACAAATATCACTAAACGCTGAAGAGCTCCAAATATGAGCAAAGAATTTTAACCGTAGAGCAGAGGAGCTTCTCTCCGCTGATTTTCGGATGCACTTGTGGCTCTGATCCGACAGCCACGCGGACAGCAACGAATAGCCGAATAATTAAGTGAAAAAGACAAGAAAGCTACCGGAATCGATAAACTACATAAGAACTAAAATAAGCTTCGTACTCCTCAGGAGCTTTATGATTGATAGACTTGGTTGATAAAATGATACAGTTGCTGATATTTATGCATTTTTATAACGGTGGTCTGGCTCCATTCAGCTTTTGCAGTGACCGTAACTAAACGGAAGGGTCCCTTTTGTAATTTACCTTTTTTCATCTCTATACTTATCAATTTCTGGTTTTCAGCTCCGGCTGCCACAAGTTCGGGCGTACAAATCAAGTCTGCGCAAATTTTACTAGAGGCCAGGGAGTCTATTGTAACATACCCCAAGGGCTGTAACGTAGTGTTACACGCCTATGTTAGGTATTTATTTGTTGAATAGATTAAGGTCAATGCTACATAATATACATAGAAAATTTGCCAAAATGTTTTTATCTATTGTAAACAAAAGAGAGCTCTAATTGAGAGAGGAGTGCAAAAATAGAGAACGCCATAATAACTACGAGCTCCGAAACTAGTAGTTGAAATTTTAAAACTCACTTTTATTCAAGCTTAGTGTAGACTCTCAAAAAGGGGTAACCATCACGAAGCGTATCCCTGAGTTGAAGTTACCGTGACATTCAATCAAACACGATATCAGTCAAGTAAAATACAATACATCTAAAATATTTTCGTGTTCTAATCGACAATAGCCAGCATTGGCATATAATAAGGAATGTCTACCAATAGCCCTCAGGATGAGCGTTTAACCATATAGTCGCTTCTGATCTGCCACATTGAGGTTGCTTGGCTCCATAACAGAAGCAAGGGGAGCAGTAGTTTAACTTCACTTTTACTGGCAGTCGAATTCAATGGCATAAAGAATCTCCCTGCACTGTAAGACGCGATAGGACATATGTTTCTTCATCGATAATATCCTTTCCGCGAACACATTTGTGTTTTACGCTTGCGAGAAAGATTACTTGAAGTTGACTAATACTGCAAGATTTAGATCAGCCAAGCCATAAATTTAAAGGCGTTAGACTCGGTTAAATACAATATCTCAAATTCAACTGCATAATCCATCAGTTTTTAGGCCGAAAAACCTGAAATAGTTTGATGCCCCACTTGTAAGCTGTGGATCAGCGGCATGGAAAACATATGAAAACGATCTAAAAGTTATAGAAATTGCACAGAGGAAAGCAATGAGCGGCCGTGACTGAGTTAGTAAGGCGCGATGCTTTCAACACGTGGGTCACGAGTTCGAATCCTCCTTCGGTCCCGGTCAGAGGTTTCAATATTAATAATAATACGAATTTATGCATTTACTAAAAGTCAGTTTAAGTTAAGTACATTTGTCTGCAGTTTTGACAGAAATACAGGATTGTTTGTTTGCAGGGATCGTTAATCGAATAACGTGAGAACGGCTAACGTGAAGTAGATGACTCCCCAGGCCAGAAAGCAGACCCTGCAAGGGGTAGGCTGGGGGAAAATTAAAAGTGAAAGGCAATAACATTGCTTCGTCTGAAATTCCATCCTTAATCGCGAAGTTCACCTTCAACTGTTTTTTTCGAATACATTTATGACACAACTGACCTCCTGTGTAAAAATTCATGACGGTCACAGAAAACTGACAAAGAGACATGCTATTTGCTTAGGCCTAGGTTTTAAATGTATCGGTTCTTAAAGTTTCTTGTAAAAATCAGAATAATTTTTTTTAATGAGCGTGCAGTTTGACGATTGTCTGATCGGTCATTTGAAATTCGTTATCATGGGCTGTGAAAACAAAAAAAATCCTAAGACTTCATACTGTATATTTTTCAAAGAGAAGTGCAGTCAAAGCAATCCCTGTTCTTGGAGGGTTATTTACACTTATACAAGCTGTAAAATAAATATTAGAAAACGAAACTTTTGATTTGATTCAAAACGTGAGCGGACAGTAACATCCATTGTGACAAAAGTATTGCGATGCGAATTTCCAATTATTGGATTAGAAGCTCATTTTTTGAACAATTCTCTGCAGTTTTGAACTGGACAGCCCTGAGCTGGGAATCATGAGCTGGTGTTTTGCTACTTTCTCTCTCGGCCTCGGATGAGATTGGATTTTTTCACTGTCGTTTATTCTCCCGGGTGGGCCTTTCTCTCAAAACATAATGAAATGTTTCAGATGACGATTCGATCGACCCCAATTTGAACGTATTTGCACCCAACTTCATATCTCAGGACTTGCAGGAAGCAGTTTCGAATAATCTTAAGATTGGTTGCTCAAGTTACTTCATGGATTCCTTCAAGATGACTTCGACCAAACTGGGAGGGAAATTTTCATTTTGTGACGGTACTTATTTTCATGTTTTCCAGAAAATGTGATTTTCATTGAAACTCTTAAATCTGTTCTCAGATCTTGCCTTAATCTTTTTTTAACAAATGGATTATTTTAAACTCTTTAAAATAACAGTTTTTATGTTACTGTCAAAATGTTGATAATAACGATGAATTGATCTTCTGTAAATTAACATTCGTCAGATTTGTTGACCGGAAAGTTATTGCCAACATTTTTTTTTATTAATGGACGTTTTTGTTTCCAAAAAGGCGCTTAAATACTAAAAAAAACGAAGTTAAGTCGATTAAAACACTTTTTTTCCCGCTTAAATTTTTACCGCTTAAATTTAGTAATTGTAACATTTTAAGCTATCAAAATAAACTTTTGTAAGCCTGCCCGCTCACTCGAAATTAGACGAAAAATCAAAAATTTGAAACCGGGTTTTCTCGACACCGGGTAAGTTTTTTTTACGGAAAGTTTTTCAATGTCGTTCGAATCACGACAAAGGGCTTCAAATGATATATCACTCAGCTCTCTCCGATGATTTTTTTTTATTATTAGCTGCTTTTGCGTGGAAAACAAAAAAGGAAAAAACTAACACACCCGAATGCTAAGTTCTCCTCATTTTTCAAATGGTCGGCACAAAAAGACGGGGAGGGACCTGGTATTGTGATGTGGTAAGTTGTGACATTATTTGGCCCAGAGCATTTCCTGTTTTTGGCCTCTCATAAAATGCACAGCATTTAGTACTTTCTTGTTTTTCCCCTTTTTATTGTATCCGTTACAGGATGATTCTTGGTTTAGATTCTCGGTGGCATATGGAACCATTCAGATGCACCCACTTAGTACCCTGCTACGGATACTTGCTGTTCTTCGACAACGAGCCCGAAGTAGCATACACAGGCGATACAACCTTTTCTCTTTTCTATCTACCTGAAAACAAAAAGATTCTTTCTGTCAATGTTCTCATCATGGAGGTATCCGGCTGGGATCTGAACAATGATGCGGACGTGGAAAAGGTACATCAAAGTGGACATATCCATATACGGGATGTAGTTCAGCATGTAGAGATGTTTGAACACGTCAAGACAATTGTTGCGTTTCATGTTCAGCCCAAGTATTCACCCGAGTTCGTGAAATCAATTGTTGATCAGTTACCAGAAGAGTTGAAAAAGAAAATTCATGTTTGTTTGAGTGCTCTAAATAACTATTATAAAAGGTAGTTATTAGTTCGAGTCATTTTTTAGACGATTTGGAAAGTCAACTACGATGAATTAAACGGGAGCCTTGGAGCTTACCTGATGTTTGTTCGATTTTTCGTTTCTTTATTCAAATGCCGCTCGGGTTTGATTTTTCCCCATATATTATACGAATGTGATGCGTAATCTAACTACAGTCAACCTCAGTTTTCTATCAAAAAAGTTTATATCGTTGTTTGTGCCTAAACACTTTAATATCAGTGCTAACTTGACTGCTTTTATTCTAGATCACTAAAATGTACATTGATATAACAACTTAGTTAGATCAATCCTTAATTTCGTTGATGAATAACCTTCTTGAAAAGAAGAGTTGCCAATAAGCGTTGTTTTCTATAATTGTAAGCAAAATGTTCTACTTGAACCGATTGAGCAAGTAGACAAGTTGTGTACAAATTATGTTGTGCGTGTAAATGTAGGGTGTGTTTTTTTCTTTCAGATTGAATGGCAGGAAAGAACAACCTGTTGGATGTGGACGATGTGAATGTGGGCTATGAGACCTCTGAGGGAATCAAGGTCATCAAGGCGTTCGAAGAGATGAAACTGAAGAGTGACCTCCTGAGAGGAGTGTACGCTTACGGATTTGAAAGGTCACTTTTGCTGCATGAAATAATAATTCCTATCATTACTCTGCACTACTTAATCGTCGATACCCCTCCCCCGCGCGCACCCCGCATCACAAATTGATTTCTTCATAGACCACCTCCCCTAAAACATTGACCCCTCCATTGGGGGGGGGGGTCTGAATTGACCCCACCGGAATTTTTTATGACATAGATAATGGACTCAAGGTCTTAGATAAATATGCGCTTTTTAAGAGCTCCAAATCAAAAAAACTGTTTTTCCACTCAAAAACTGGTCGCCTTGATTAAATAACTGATTTTTTAAGTTCAAGAACATTTTAAGTTCAAGAACGTTTTGGCTCAATTTTACCATTTATTTATCTAAATTTGCGGTTCCTTTCTGATAATTTTGAACCCCTGCAATGAAAAACGATATTTTTATTCCAAAAAATGCTCAACTCTGGTAACTTTCGACCCCGCCAATTACGTAGAGCAGAGTATTATGCTCTGATACATTCAGGGGCGGATCTAGGATTTTCTCGAGGGGGGGGGGGGGCGGATTTTCAAAAAATTTTCGAAATTTTTGACGACCTTTTTTTTAGGTCGATCAGATTGACTTTCCGAGCTCTCCCAAAGCAGTAAAAACACCTTGTTTTGGCCAAACTTTCTGCGCCGCAGGCAATTTTTTGAAAAAACATGTCAAAAAAGCCGTTTTTGGGCACTTTTTGGAAAATTTTGACAAGAAAAACGCATTTTTTTGGCGCGCGCTCCCCCTCAAAAATAGTATATATTGGCGCCAGCGCCAAAGTCGCCTTTAGAAAAATTTTAGGGTCAGTCGGCCAAAAATGGATTTCTTAAAAAGTACCAAAGGGGGGACCCTTTGGGTTGGCAGGGGTTCGAATCCCTGAGGGAGGGGGCGTCCGCCCCCCCCCCCCCCCTAAATCCGCCCCTGGATACATTGTTCTCATTTAAAATTTTGTCACTGGTGTCTGGATTCGAGAATTTTAGTGTACGTTTATGGTTTTGTCTAAGCTGAATTTAAGGAGCTAAGAACCCCTGGGATGTAATCGTATTACTGGGAAAAGTTGGGTTTTGAGAAAAAACCGAATATGTTTTAGTCATTTGATTTTAGACCATCAGCAATCCAGCAAAGAGCAATTGTTCCAATTGTACAAGGGCGAGACGTAATCGCCCAATCTCAGAGTGGAACAGGGAAGACAGCCACCTTTTCTATCTCCATTTTACAGGCCATTGACATCAATAACAGACAGACACAGGCACTCGTGCTGTCACCTACCAGAGAACTCGCAGTACAGATCCAAAAGGTTTCAAAATCTGGATATACTTTACAATCTCTCCCCCGTGTGATATCTACTAAAGATTCGATCTATAAAAAACAATAAATAAGCTTCTGACCTTTCTTTTGAGAAACACGGCTTAATTAATCTACTTAACAATCTCCCCCTTTTCTTGAAAGGCGAGGATTGTTAAGTAGATCCGAAAGTAATAGGTGAAACTAACTAATATCGATTCATGTGTGTATTTTGTTTCTAGTGTATTTAGTTGTTTTACATCGCTCAAAGTTCGATTTTACCTACCAATCCCCCTTAGAATATAAATAAGTGGTATCTTAGCTATTTGTCTTACTAAGGGAAATTTTTATCGAAAGATGCCATAGGCCGAGGGTTGAAAATTAGAAAACGTTATTTATAGACCCGCACGCACAGTACCACTCGTGTCTAATGTAGACTTGTTTATTCTATGGTTCAAATTGTCTGTTACGAATTGTGTCCTCCTACAATTACTTTCCATCCCTGTCATTAGTTGTTAGTTTAGTAGGCTTCGGCAGGTGTTTGGATTTTCGTATCGAAGAAAACTCCTAGAAAGCTACTTTTCGTGTGTACTGTGTAGGTTGTTCTGGCGTTGGGAGACATAATGAATGTGCAATGTCACGCCTGCATCGGAGGAACCAACATAGGCGAGGACATCCGCAAGTTGGACTTCGGAGTACACGTTGTGAGTGGGACCCCAGGAAGAGTGTTTGACATGATCAAGAGGAGGAATCTGGAGACGAAGAATATCAAGATGTTGGTTTTGGATGAAGCAGATGAGATGTTGTCGAAGGGATTCAAAGATCAGATCTATGACGTGTACAGATACTTACCACCAGCAACCCAAGTAAGTTTTCGCATTGAGTACAACTTAACTGGAGCTTATTGAGTTCTCTATTTACACAAGCGCAGATTAATATCATATTGCGAGGTCCATTTTTTCCCATCTTTGGTGGCTTTTTGCAGCAAGAGCATTAGATCTTGTTAAGAGTCATTGTTTTTCAGGAAAAAAGTCTTAAAAATAGTTCTTCCTCAGTTTTGATTTTCCGCATAAGACTTTTCATTTCTTTTTATTTTTTCTTCGGTTCATTTGTTAAAAGGAAAGCAAACTCCACTATCGAACTTCAATAGTGTAAAAGTCTCGAAAAGTGGATAGTTTGAAAAGTGGATTTTACTTTTCAGATTTTCCAAGGAAATAAAAACGTTTACCTATTGATCCAGTTTTCTCAACTTGGGGCAATTTTATCAAAAAGTGTCAATTAGAAATAGTTCTAAAAATTCAAAGAGCTACTTTTTTGAATCCGAGGTTTTTTCAAAAATCAAATCAGATTTTTTCGTTCCTTGACTCTTTTCCAACTGTCTGTTGGCTATGTTTCTTTGAATTTAGAATGTTGAAGTTTTTTGTATCTAGTTTATTCGGGGCTAGTGCAGGAAACTTGTCAAGGGCCCATGGAGCAGATGATAGGACAAGCGTTTCCGAATCTCGAAGTCGGTTCGATTCCGGCACAGATCAAGATTTTTATTTGTTTTGTCTTTTCCGTTTCTCTTTTTGATCTCTTTCAGGGCTATTTTCCGGAACAGGTTATCTGATTTTTACTGATGTTGGCTGTTGTGTACGATTTGAAAGAGTGTAATTCTTGATTTTCAGGTTGTGCTCATCAGTGCGACACTGCCCAATGAGATTCTGGAGATGACTCAGAAGTTCATGACGGAGCCCATCCGCATCCTGGTCAAAAGGGACGAACTCACGCTGGAGGGTATCAAGCAGTTCTTTGTGGCAGTAGAGAGGGAGGAGTGGAAGTTCGACACCCTCTGCGACCTCTACGACACTCTCACAATCACACAGGCTGTTATCTTCTGCAACACCAGGAAGAAGGTGTTGTCTTATTGTCTTCGTGTCTATGTTTACTAATTCTAATTCTCGTAATTCATTCCTTTGCTAATCAGCATCTTTAGCAAACGTTTTGCGGCTAAGATTTTATAACTTAGGATTCTGGAAATGCCTTATATTAAATCTTCAATAGGAGACTTATTCCTTGAAAAGTATTCGCCAAAAAGCTTGAATCAAAAGAGAAGTAATTCTTCATTTAAATAAGAAATTTATTATATAACAAAAAACTTTACAACAGTTTATTGTTTAGTAAGTTTCAATCACAATACAGCGAATAAAAAGTAATTGCTGTAATTTTAAGGTAGAGTGGCTGGCTGAGAAGATGCGAGAGAGTAACTTCACAGTGAGTAACATGCATGGAGACATGCCTCAGAAGGAGAGAAATGAGATCATGAAGGAGTTCAGAGCAGGCCATACAAGAGTGCTCATCACCACAGATGTGTGGGCCAGGGGAGTGGATGTGCCCCAGGTGTCCCTCGTCATCAACTACGATCTACCCAACAACAGGGAGTTGTACATACACAGAATAGGAAGGTCGGGTCGATTCGGACGAAAAGGTCAGTCTAACTTGATTTTGCTTACTTTTTTATAATCTAATCAGGTAATTCATTCAACAGTCGCTATTTCATTGAGATAAATTGCTTATTTTTATTTAATACACAATTTTTGAACGAAACAAAGCAAAGTTTATTTTAAATTTTAATACATGCTAAGTTTTCGTTAGAAATGCGGCAGGTTTCAGTTTTTGGCCAATCTTTTTACGACTGAAAACCGTACAACCAGCTATTAAGCTCTGAATCAATAACCATGGTTTGGCGTTAGATAAATCAAGCGACGCTCAGGCAACGGAACACGAGATCCAAACAACCAGTTGAAACTCAGTCTTGCAACTGGAAAGTTTTAGGGCTAGGGTTTTTTAAAACAAAAGCCTAAAAAAGGCTTCGAGGATTGACTTAGTTTGTTGCATATTTGATTTTTTTCAACTACAATTTTGTTTATACAATTTTCTTATTTATACAGGTGTTGCAATCAACTTCGTCAAGTCAGACGATATCCGAATTTTGAGAGACATCGAGCAGTATTACGCCACGCAGATCGACGAAATGCCAATGAATGTACAGGACCTCATATAAACAACCCCATCGCTCTTCGAAAAAAAATTGGATATGATCTTCAAGCCATTGAGAGCAACATTGGATTAGGAAGGACAAATGAAAACGAAGCTGCTAGAAATGAAATAAGAACTGGCGGTAAACTTATTGAATGTTTCAATTTGATCATGTTTCTGGAATCTTAGTGACTCATATTTTATTTCATGTTTGAATGTTGATACCCGTTCTGTTAGATATTAAATTAAGTTCAACTTGAAGTCAATTTATATGTTATGTGATCTTTTCAATCTAATATGAAGCTGGTTTGTTTTTGACGTTTTTGATGACCAGCAGCATAATTTTTCAGGCAGAAGTGCGAAAATCCGAAATTTTTATGAGAGCAAAGGAGTTTACTCCGCAAAACCGTCCAATGGACTATATATCATGAAAGTAGCGCTGAGCGTCAAAAGCCCCGAGTCAAAAGCCCCCGCGACAAAAGCCCCCCGTCAAAAGCCCCCGAGTCAAAAGCCCCCGGCGCAAAGGTTACATGTACATGAACACCTACATGCAAAAGCACGAGGGGCTTTGGACTCGGGGGCTTTTGTCGCGGCGGCTTTTGACTCGGGGGCTTTTGTCGCTCAGCCGAAAGTAGTACTCGAGATATGCGGTTTATAAACTGCATAAACGGCAAACTTTGAGTGACCTTTTCCGCTCATGAATCAATAGGTTTTAGTGATTTTTGATTGTTTTTCAGGAGACTCTGAATTGTTCACGTTCAATTTGAATTTTCCACGGTTTGACTTTTGATTACTTCTCAAATTCACTTTCGAAAGTAAAATTTAGTTTTCAGATTTCCGAGCAGAATAAAAATTAAACTCTTGATCCATTTTTCTCAAATTTGGTGTAATTCATCAAAACAAAGTAACAATCATAAATTGCTCTTGAAAATCAAAGAGTTTTAAGGGCATGTTTCTCTGTTTTTCAATAGTTTGGAAGTTTTCAAAAAATTAGATAGTATTTTTTTTCTATTTCATTGCGCCCATAACTGTTTTCCAACTGTCTGTTGGCTATGTTTGAAAACATTCAATTGGCCTATGACTTAAATTTCAAGTCATACATGCCAATTCAGCAAAACGAACCATGTCCGATTTCAGTATTTTAGATTTCGTTTTTCTTTTTTTGTATTTTTGTTTCGATGCTAATTTAGTATTCTATTCAGTATTTGATTCTAAACACAAATTTTTGAGAATGGGATTATCATGCAATGTTTTCGTATCGCAAGTGGTGGGAAGTTTCACTTAGCTGTTTGTTGATTTTATCAAGACCAGTTGAAAAGTATTGATGCCCTGAGCTCCAAATCAGCAAGATATCATTCAACTAACTGTTGGTTAAGTTTTACTATCTCAAACGCAAAAACTAGCAAAATTTGCATTGAATGCATATATTTGCATAAATTTGCATTGATGTATCAGCTTTGCTCAATGTCTTTACTTGGCAGTAGTATACTAACGTTGAATCAGTCTTAAAAAGACACGGATCAAACTAGCATGAATCAAGAACTTACTGTTCGCCTATTTGTTGGATTGAGCACAAAAATTTTCCTCAAGAACAATTTTAGTCAGACTCTTGCATTGAGAACTATTCATTTCGAAAGAGTTGTTTGTCGCAAACCATACGTTTCAGAGAATTTTCTAAGAATTTTGAAAAACGAGTTTAGGGAGTTTTTGTTCCGATTTTTGATACGAAAGTATCGGAATATTTGTGCTCGGGGTAGGTTTTTTTTCTTCAGACAAATTTCGACTTTTTAACTAGCCATTTTTGACGGAATTTTTTTAAATAAAATTCGAAAGGTATTGTTGTCCTGCGCTTAAATTTGAAAAGATATTTCACCTGTGATCATTTTTCGTAAAGTTACGGGGGTTTAAAGATTGCCATTTTGGCCAATTTGGGACAATTAACGCGCGATATATTTTGCGCTTTTAACGCTTAAGCGGGGAGTTGATCCGTCTTAGAAATCGTTCCAAATTGGTTGAAAGAAGCTTATTTGCCATAATTGATTTAATACAAGGAGCAAAATCTATCCTTTTGTACTTAATATGGCGTGTGGGAGGATCATTTTCATTAAAAAAAAATCAAATTTTAGAAAAAAAATTTTTCATTTTGCTTTATTTCATTCAATTTCTTGAATGTTATTACTGCTCCATAATTATTAAAAGGCGGTCGGAACATTCAGGGCTTCGCCCTGGTACGAGCAGTCTTGTTTACATTTTGAGTTCACTTTTTGCTTTGCAATTTTAAAAACCTGCAATAAAGAAACTCGTTGTTTTTTTCATTTCAGCGAGTTTTGAACTTAATTAGGGTCAAACTACGTAAAAACGCATCATCTGAAATCCCAGCAGCACTGATTTGTTGTAGATGAAAAATATATAGCTTTTTACTGAAAACAATATAAGTGCTTGCAACTAATTCATCATTGAGACAGAAATAACTCACTGTCGAAAAACTTCTCTATAGAACAACACTGAGTTAGTGCTAAAAATGTCGTAAAACTAAGTTAACTGATTCAATGGAATGCGCTCTATATTTAGGCCATTTTGCAATAATACTAGTCAGTAAGAAAACAAACAAGACTGCTCGTATCAGGGCGAAGCCCTGAATATTCCGACTGCCTTTTAAGGTTTATGGAGCAGCAGTAATAACATAAAATAATTAAATGAAATAAAATAAAATGAATTTTTTTTTCTCTAAAATTTGAAATTTTTTATGAAAATCATCCACCCACACGCCATATAAAGTACAAAAAGAGAGATTTCGTTCCTTGTAACAAATCAATTATGGCAAATAAGCTTCGTTCAACCAATTTGGAACGATTTATAAGACGGATTAAATCTCGGCTTACGCGTTAATAGCGCGAACTATATCGCGCGTTAATTGTTCCAAATTGGTCAAAATGGCAATCTTTAAATCCTCATAACTTTACGAAAAGTGATCACAGGTGAAATATCTTTTCAAATTTAAGCTCAGGGCAACAATATTTTTCGAATGATGTAAAAAAAATTCCGTCAAAAATGTCTAAATAAAAAGTCGAAATTTGTCTGAAGAAGAAAAAACCGACCCCGAGCACAAATATTCCGTTACTTTCGTATCGAAAGTCGGAACAATAATATAATTTCTAATCACAATCGAGATGAGAGAACAAACTTGCGAGTGAAATTATTATTAGCTTTTAATTTCTTCCTTGAGTCTGATTAGTTAATATAGTTTTTGCCTACTTACTGACCAGTATGAATACGCATTCATCTAAATACTGCTACGTAACCTGATTCAACGATGACTATCTATGAAAAATCAAGAATACCCTGGAAAAATCTAGAACGCGCTCGGGATAGTTCTATTTTAACGAAGTCGATGTTATTAATAAAATTTGGCTGAAATTTGGTGATATCAATATATTTTTAAAGGAAAACTTTCCATTAGTTGTATCAAATAGCAGAAAATTACTAGTTAGAGGCACAATGGTTCAACTAGACAACAAGTTAGCTTAATCGAACAGCTTTCCAATAGTTTACCTGAATCTGCTGCCATCCTAGCCGGAATAGGAGGAAAAAAGTGATAACTGTTGTTGCCTATGTGCCACCTCATTTTTATAAAATCCAAGTTTTGAACTTTAGATAGATAATTGAAAATACTGGCACAAAAAAAGTTAATAATTCACCTATTGGGTGATCTAATACGTGTTTGTTTTGAACAAATAATTGTCAGCGGGCATATATAAAATCAATTATAGCTAAATAATTCAACCTTTTGAACAAATCATCAATTACAGTATGCGATTCATCCGAAAATTGTTTAGACAGTTTTCTAACCAAATGTTTAAAAAGCGCAGTAATTGAAGGGCTGGAGCATGAGAGTTTCTACGACCATTATTCAGTTATTTTGCGCAAACTGATTTTCCATCAAAAACTTAAGGTCTTAAGATATTATTGTTCTGACTTTCGATACGAAAGTAACGGAATATTTGTGCTCGGGGTGGGTTTTTTTCTTCAGACGAATTTCGACTTTTTAACTAGCCATTTTTGACGGAATGTTTTTATATCCTTTAAAAAGTATTGTTGTCCTGATCTCAAATCTGAAAAGATATTTCACCTGTGATCATTTTTCGTAAAGTTATAGAGATTTAAAGATTGCCATTTTGGCCAATTTGGTACAATTAACGCGCGATATATTTCGCGCTATTAACGCGTAAGCGGAGAGTTAATCCGTCTTATAAATCGTTCCAAATTGGTTATAAGAAGCTTATTTGTCGTAATTGATTTGTTACAAGGAGCGAAATTAATCGTTTTGTACTTTATATGGCTTGTGGGGGGATGATTTTCATTAAAATATCAAATTTTAGAAATTTTATTTTTCCATTTTGTTTTATTTCATTAATTTTTTTAATGTTATTACTGCTCCATAAACCTTAAAAGGCAGTCGGAACATTCAGGGCTTCGCCCTGATACGAGCACTTTTGTTGGTTTCAAAACCTAGTCATTTAATATTTTATATATTTTTTTCTGAGAATGCTCTAATCGATATCATAGTTTTCGTTCAAACTTTTGAGCGGAGCAAAAATCCACAAATTCAGAAATATACTTTCATCTTTGTAGTCTATCAAATTTGAGTTTTTGGGTTCATTATATTTTTTTGTTCAAAGAGTTTTTTTGTTGTTTAGTTTATCGAATTGAAATTTTTTTTTGCATTTTGTTTTATTTCAATTTTTTATCAATGATTTTACTGCTCCATAAACCTTAAAAGGCAGTCAAAACATTCAGGGCTTTGCCCTCATACGAGCAGTCTTGTTTGTTTTCTGACTGACTAGTATTATTGCAAAATTGTCTAAATATAGAGCGCTTTCCATTAAATCAGTTAACTTATTTGTACGACTTTTTAAAAAAACGTGATATAACAGTGAGTATGCTTATCTTGATATGCCTTTTCGATGAAGAAAAAACAATTCACGAAAAAATTTACTTAACTTGAAAGAAAAGATAGAAACATCCAAACTTGTAAAAAAAAAGACGCTATTTTTGAAGCATTAGCAAAATTGAGTGATGATATCAGGCTAAGAATTGATAAAAAAATATAAAATGTAGCTTTTTTGTGGATATAAAGAAAACCTTCGATATAAAAGATCTAAAACTCCTTCTGACAAAAAAATTAAGAAACGGATTTCGTGGAAACGGTTGAGATTGGTTCACAGTTACCTATCCAATAGACAGCAACGCATTCAAGTGGATTTTTAGAAAACTGGTGTACCACAAAGTTCGCTTCAAGTTCCACTTTTTTCCTAATTTACATCTAGATAATTCAAAATTGAATTCCATCTTTATTGTTCCGACTTTCGATACGAAAGTAACAGAATATTTGTGCTCGGGGTGGGTTTTTTTTTCTTCAGACAAATTTCGACTTTTTAACTAGCCATTTTTGACGGAATTTTTTAAATATCATTCGAAAGGTATTGTTGTCCTGAGCTCAAACTTGAAAAGATATTTCACCTGTGATCATTTTTCGTAAAGTTACGGGTGTTTAAAGATTGCCATTTCGGCCAATTTGGGACAATTAACGCGCGATATATTTCGCGCTATTAACCCGTAAGCGGAGAGTTATTTCGTCTTAGAAATCGATCCAAATTGGTTACAAGAAGCTTATTTGCCATAATTGCTTTGTTACAAGGAGCAAAATTTATCCTTTTGTATTTTATATGGCGTGTGGGGGGATGATTTTCATAAAAAATTTCAAATTTTAGAAAGAAAAATTTTCATTTTGTTTTATTTCATTGAATTTTTTAAGGTTATTACTGCTCCATAAACCTTAAAAGGCAGTCGAAACATTCAGGGCTTCGCCCTGATACGAGCAGTCTTGTTTTTTTGTCGATGACACATATATCGAAATGTTTCGAAATGATTTGACAAATATTTTGAAATGATTATGTGCAAATAAAACAAGACTGCTCGTATCAGGGCGAAGCCCTGAATGTTCCGACTGCCTATTAAGGTTTATGGAGCAGTAAAAGCATTAAAAAATTATAAGTAGTAAAAAAAAAATGAAAAAGTTTTATCTAAAATTTGAAATTTTTTAAGAAAATCATCCCCCCACACGCCATATAAAGTACAAAAGGATAGATTTCGTTACTTGTAACACATCAATTTTGGCAAATAAGCTTCGTTAAACCAATTTGGAACGATATCTAAGACGGATTAACTCTCCGCTTACGCGTTAATAGCGCGAAAATATCGTTGGTTAATGTCCCAAATTGGTCAAAATGGCAATCTTTAAACCCCCGTAACTTTACGAAAAATGATCACAGGTGAAGTATCTTTTCAAATTTGAGCTCAAGACAACAATACCTTTACAATGATATAAAAAAATGCCGTCAAAAATGGCTAGTTAAAAAGTCGAAATTTGTCTGAAGAAAAAAAAACCCACCCCGAGCACAAATATTCCATTACTTTCGTATCGAAAGTCGGAACAACAAGGCTGAGTTCCGATAAAACAATACTAACAAGTTTTGATAAAAATCAAAACTTTTCAAAGCTTTACTTGGATTTTCTTAGTAAAACTTTTGAAGGTAAGTACTATTGTGAAAATTTTGGCGCTGCAATATTTTATCAACCACATGTCAAGCCAGTGATTCAATATGGCTCATTTATGTATGGATGGTGGAACGAGTTTTCTCTTTCAAATCAAAAACCAATGCTCTAACAGAAACTAATGATCTACTTCAAACGAAATTATGATAGTATTTCTCAAATCTCATTAAATATTAAAATCCTGACAGTTCGTGAACTCTGAGTTTATGACCTGTTAAAATTTTGTTTTCTTTCAAACTGTTTTGTTAATACTTATCTATTGGTATATAAATCAGTGCAACGATGCGACCGGCATATCCTGACAAGGTTACAGTTCTACACTAAAAGAATACACCACCAAGTATTCCTATACCTATTCCTATAATCAAAAACTTTATATTTTAAGAGAAAAACAAAACAAAATGCAACCAGCGGCCAATTTTTACCATATTTTCCGATTAGAGATGCACTTCTAGCCTGAAACTATGACCCTCCAAATCTTTCTAGTTTTTGAGAAATTGCAATTGTTTTCAAAATGTACAAAGAGAACATCTTAGAATTTTTTTAATTAGCTGAAACTTGTGCACAAACTGCTTCAAAGCCTTCCAGTTCTGGACTGGAACTTTGATACTTACTTGATTTTTACAGATCGTTTTTATCAGGTTTTACTTGTTGGTTTCAAAACCTAGTCATTTAATATTTTATATATTTTTTTCTGAGAATGCTCTAATCGATATCATAGTTTTCGTTCAAACTTTTGAGCGGAGCAAAAATCCACAAATTCAGAAATATACTTTCATCTTGGTAGTCTATTTGAGTTTTTGGGTACATTAATTTTTTTCTTTCAAAGAGTTTATTTTTGTTGTTGTGTTTATCGAATTGATAATGTTTGATTAAGTTATTTAAAACGGGAAGAATCTGAGTTGAAACTCAATGTGTCTTGTCTTATATCTATCCAATATTTAATTTGATGATATTTTGTATTGTTTCTAAAAGTATAACCATAACTTTGGAGAAAAGAAATTCTGAATTTATGTTTCACTTTCAGTTAGAAATAATTAATGAACGCTTTGGTATTCAGTTCATGCGCAGATGGTAAAATCAAGTCAAGTGGCGCATAGAATACTTAAAAATTGATGAACTATTCATTGTTTAGTCACCGCGTTTCTATGTTAATTTTTTTTTTGAAGCTTTGCACGAAAATTTTATTTCATCGCATCTTTTTTATGAAGTTTTACATACCATACAACTTGTTCAGAGCCATCGAAGGACCTGACTTGGAAAAATTTATGAGTATTAAAATTACATGCGTGCGTTTTGCTATCCTAACCGTCTGACCTGACTGAAAAAACTCGTCTTACTTTTCCCCTCATTCTCTAAATACATTATTCGTCTTTCCCTCTTTTCTCCCTTGGTTGTTTTTTTTCTTTTCCCCAGAGTTCGTTTGAATTCAGGCACATTTTTGTTTGTCCTACTGCAGTGCATTGCGTAGGTATGGCTCGGTAGTTGATGCTATGCGTAACGCTGCAAATTGAGCGATTTTCCTTTTTGTGGCTCTGTTTGTCTATTCTACCTTTCTCTCTTTTTTCTTAAGCGCGGAACAAAATAGAAAAAATGTCTGCATTACTTTTTAATCCAAGCAACAGCATAGAGAGATTTCCACCTTCGATTTTGCAATCTGAATTTTATTGCTTTGTTCTTCCCCTGTAGAGGTTCTACCAGCACAGCAGTAAAATGCAAAATGCATCAAAATAGACGCCATCTCACCGCTATGCTCAAAATCGGCATACCGATCTTACAATTCCAATTCAATAATACTTTAAAGGGGTACCTTGCGTATAATCCATAAGAGCGTACCAACAAGTATATATCAAAACTGGCCGAGTGAGCTTTTCCAGGTAATTTTCAACTTCAAATTAGTGTATACAAAAGAACAAAACTGACTTAAACCCACTTTAAAAAACTATATGAGAAAGTTTTACAGTCATTTTTTGTTTTTGGTGTTTAAGCTCGCTTGCTTATAATAGCATCAGCGTTACACCATGCCTTTGATTGGGAATAGTTTATCCCCTTTTTTACGTCAAAAGTGAAAGAAAGTAAAAACATGTAACTCTATTTGCATATTTGAGCAGATATATTTTCACAGCCGCCACGTCATTACAATTTTTATTTAAACAGCCTTATTGCGCTTATAACTGAGCAGGCCATACAAGAGTGCTCATCACCACAGATGTGTGGGCCAGGGGAGTGGATGTGCCCCAGGTGTCCCTCGTCATCAACTACGATCTACCCAACAACAGGGAGTTGTACATACACAGAATAGGAAGGTCGGGTCGATTCGGACGAAAAGGTCAGTCTAACTTGATTTTGCTTACTTTTTTATAATCTAATGAGGTAAGTCATTGAACAGTTTGCTATTTCATTGAGATAAATTGCTTATTTTTTTTAATACACAATTTTTGATCGAAACAAAGCAAAGTTTATTTTAAATTTTAATACATGCTAAGTTTTCGTTAGAAATGCGGCAGGTTTCAGTTTTTGGCCAATCTTTTTACGACTGAAAACCGTACAACCAGCTATTAAGCTCTGAATCAATAACCATGGTTTGGCGTTAGATAAATCAAGCGACGCTCAGGCAACGGAACACGAGATCCAAACAACCAGTTGAAACTCAGTCTTGCAACTGGAAAGTTTTAGGGCTAGGGTTTTTTAAAACAAAAGCCTAAAAAAGGCTTCGAGGATTGACTTAGTTTGTTGCATATTTGATTTTTTTCAACTACAATTTTGTTTATACAATTTTCTTATTTATACAGGTGTTGCAATCAACTTCGTCAAGTCAGACGATATCCGAATTTTGAGAGACATCGAGCAGTATTACGCCACGCAGATCGACGAAATGCCAATGAATGTACAGGACCTCATATAAACAACCCCATCGCTCTTCGAAAAAAAATTGGATATGATCTTCAAGCCATTGAGAGCAACATTGGATTAGGAAGGACAAATGAAAACGAAGCTGCTAGAAATGAAATAAGAACTGGCGGTAAACTTATTGAATGTTTCAATTTGATCATGTTTCTGGAATCTTAGTGACTCATATTTTATTTCATGTTTGAATGTTGATACCCGTTCTGTTAGATATTAAATTAAGTTCAACTTGAAGTCAATTTATATGTTATGTGATCTTTTCAATCTAATATGAAGCTGGTTTGTTTTTGACGTTTTTGATGACCAGCAGCATAATTTTTCAGGCAGAAGTGCGAAAATCCGAAATTTTTATGAGAGCAAAGGAGTTTACTCCGCAAAACCGTCCAATGGACTATATATCATGAAAGTAGCGCTGAGCGTCAAAAGCCCCGAGTCAAAAGCCCCCGCGACAAAAGCCCCCCGTCAAAAGCCCCCGGCGCAAAGGTTACATGTACATGAACACCTACATGCAAAAGCACGAGGGGCTTTGGACTCGGGGGCTTTTGTCGCGGCGGCTTTTGACTCGGGGGCTTTTGTCGCTCAGCCGAAAGTAGTACTCGAGATATGCGGTTTATAAACTGCATAAACGGCAAACTTTGAGTGACCTTTTCCGCTCATGAATCAATAGGTTTTAGTGATTTTTGATTGTTTTTCAGGAGACTCTGAATTGTTCACGTTCAATTTGAATTTTCCACGGTTTGACTTTTGATTACTTCTCAAATTCACTTTCGAAAGTAAAATTTAGTTTTCAGATTTCCGAGCAGAATAAAAATTAAACTCTTGATCCATTTTTCTCAAATTTGGTGTAATTCATCAAAACAAAGTAACAATCATAAATTGCTCTTGAAAATCAAAGAGTTTTAAGGGCATGTTTCTCTGTTTTTCAATAGTTTGGAAGTTTTCAAAAAATTAGATAGTATTTTTTTTCTATTTCATTGCGCCCATAACTGTTTTCCAACTGTCTGTTGGCTATGTTTGAAAACATTCAATTGGCCTATGACTTAAATTTCAAGTCATACATGCCTATTCAGCAAAACGAACCATGTCCGATTTCAGTATTTTAGATTTCGTTTTTCTTTTTTTGTATTTTTGTTTCGATGCTAATTTAGTATTCTATTCAGTATTTGATTCTAAACACAAATTTTTGAGAATGGGATTATCATGCAATGTTTTCGTATCGCAAGTGGTGGGAAGTTTCACTTAGCTGTTTGTTGATTTTATCAAGACCAGTTGAAAAGTATTGATGCCCTGAGCTCCAAATCAGCAAGATATCATTCAACTAACTGTTGGTTAAGTTTTACTATCTCAAACGCAAAAACTAGCAAAATTTGCATTGAATGCATATATTTGCATAAATTTGCATTGATGTATCAGCTTTGCTCAATGTCTTTACTTGGCAGTAGTATACTAACGTTGAATCAGTCTTAAAAAGACACGGATCAAACTAGCATGAATCAAGAACTTACTGTTCGCCTATTTGTTGGATTGAGCACAAAAATTTTCCTCAAGAACAATTTTAGTCAGACTCTTGCATTGAGAACTATTCATTTCGAAAGAGTTGTTTGTCGCAAACCATACGTTTCAGAGAATTTTCTAAGAATTTTGAAAAACGAGTTTAGGGAGTTTTTGTTCCGATTTTTGATACGAAAGTATCGGAATATTTGTGCTCGGGGTAGGTTTTTTTTCTTCAGACAAATTTCGACTTTTTAACTAGCCATTTTTGACGGAATTTTTTTAAATAAAATTCGAAAGGTATTGTTGTCCTGCGCTTAAATTTGAAAAGATATTTCACCTGTGATCATTTTTCGTAAAGTTACGGGGGTTTAAAGATTGCCATTTTGGCCAATTTGGGACAATTAACGCGCGATATATTTTGCGCTTTTAACGCTTAAGCGGGGAGTTGATCCGTCTTAGAAATCGTTCCAAATTGGTTGAAAGAAGCTTATTTGCCATAATTGATTTAATACAAGGAGCAAAATCTATCCTTTTGTACTTAATATGGCGTGTGGGAGGATCATTTTCATTAAAAAAAAATCAAATTTTAGAAAAAAAATTTTTCATTTTGCTTTATTTCATTCAATTTCTTGAATGTTATTACTGCTCCATAATTATTAAAAGGCGGTCGGAACATTCAGGGCTTCGCCCTGGTACGAGCAGTCTTGTTTACATTTTGAGTTCACTTTTTGCTTTGCAATTTTAAAAACCTGCAATAAAGAAACTCGTTGTTTTTTTCATTTCAGCGAGTTTTGAACTTAATTAGGGTCAAACTACGTAAAAACGCATCATCTGAAATCCCAGCAGCACTGATTTGTTGTAGATGAAAAATATATAGCTTTTTACTGAAAACAATATAAGTGCTTGCAACTAATTCATCATTGAGACAGAAATAACTCACTGTCGAAAAACTTCTCTATAGAACAACACTGAGTTAGTGCTAAAAATGTCGTAAAACTAAGTTAACTGATTCAATGGAATGCGCTCTATATTTAGGCCATTTTGCAATAATACTAGTCAGTAAGAAAACAAACAAGACTGCTCGTATCAGGGCGAAGCCCTGAATATTCCGACTGCCTTTTAAGGTTTATGGAGCAGCAGTAATAACATAAAATAATTAAATGAAATAAAATAAAATGAATTTTTTTTTCTCTAAAATTTGAAATTTTTTATGAAAATCATCCACCCACACGCCATATAAAGTACAAAAAGAGAGATTTCGTTCCTTGTAACAAATCAATTATGGCAAATAAGCTTCGTTCAACCAATTTGGAACGATTTATAAGACGGATTAAATCTCGGCTTACGCGTTAATAGCGCGAACTATATCGCGCGTTAATTGTTCCAAATTGGTCAAAATGGCAATCTTTAAATCCTCATAACTTTACGAAAAGTGATCACAGGTGAAATATCTTTTCAAATTTAAGCTCAGGGCAACAATATTTTTCGAATGATGTAAAAAAAATTCCGTCAAAAATGTCTAAATAAAAAGTCGAAATTTGTCTGAAGAAGAAAAAACCGACCCCGAGCACAAATATTCCGTTACTTTCGTATCGAAAGTCGGAACAATAATATAATTTCTAATCACAATCGAGATGAGAGAACAAACTTGCGAGTGAAATTATTATTAGCTTTTAATTTCTTCCTTGAGTCTGATTAGTTAATATAGTTTTTGCCTACTTACTGACCAGTATGAATACGCATTCATCTAAATACTGCTACGTAACCTGATTCAACGATGACTATCTATGAAAAATCAAGAATACCCTGGAAAAATCTAGAACGCGCTCGGGATAGTTCTATTTTAACGAAGTCGATGTTATTAATAAAATTTGGCTGAAATTTGGTGATATCAATATATTTTTAAAGGAAAACTTTCCATTAGTTGTATCAAATAGCAGAAAATTACTAGTTAGAGGCACAATGGTTCAACTAGACAACAAGTTAGCTTAATCGAACAGCTTTCCAATAGTTTACCTGAATCTGCTGCCATCCTAGCCGGAATAGGAGGAAAAAAGTGATAACTGTTGTTGCCTATGTGCCACCTCATTTTTATAAAATCCAAGTTTTGAACTTTAGATAGATAATTGAAAATACTGGCACAAAAAAAGTTAATAATTCACCTATTGGGTGATCTAATACGTGTTTGTTTTGAACAAATAATTGTCAGCGGGCATATATAAAATCAATTATAGCTAAATAATTCAACCTTTTGAACAAATCATCAATTACAGTATGCGATTCATCCGAAAATTGTTTAGACAGTTTTCTAACCAAATGTTTAAAAAGCGCAGTAATTGAAGGGCTGGAGCATGAGAGTTTCTACGACCATTATTCAGTTATTTTGCGCAAACTGATTTTCCATCAAAAACTTAAGGTCTTAAGATATTATTGTTCTGACTTTCGATACGAAAGTAACGGAATATTTGTGCTCGGGGTGGGTTTTTTTCTTCAGACGAATTTCGACTTTTTAACTAGCCATTTTTGACGGAATGTTTTTATATCCTTTAAAAAGTATTGTTGTCCTGATCTCAAATCTGAAAAGATATTTCACCTGTGATCATTTTTCGTAAAGTTATAGAGATTTAAAGATTGCCATTTTGGCCAATTTGGTACAATTAACGCGCGATATATTTCGCGCTATTAACGCGTAAGCGGAGAGTTAATCCGTCTTATAAATCGTTCCAAATTGGTTATAAGAAGCTTATTTGTCGTAATTGATTTGTTACAAGGAGCGAAATTAATCGTTTTGTACTTTATATGGCTTGTGGGGGGATGATTTTCATTAAAATATCAAATTTTAGAAATTTTATTTTTCCATTTTGTTTTATTTCATTAATTTTTTTAATGTTATTACTGCTCCATAAACCTTAAAAGGCAGTCGGAACATTCAGGGCTTCGCCCTGATACGAGCACTTTTGTTGGTTTCAAAACCTAGTCATTTAATATTTTATATATTTTTTTCTGAGAATGCTCTAATCGATATCATAGTTTTCGTTCAAACTTTTGAGCGGAGCAAAAATCCACAAATTCAGAAATATACTTTCATCTTTGTAGTCTATCAAATTTGAGTTTTTGGGTTCATTATATTTTTTTGTTCAAAGAGTTTTTTTGTTGTTTAGTTTATCGAATTGAAATTTTTTTTTGCATTTTGTTTTATTTCAATTTTTTATCAATGATTTTACTGCTCCATAAACCTTAAAAGGCAGTCAAAACATTCAGGGCTTTGCCCTCATACGAGCAGTCTTGTTTGTTTTCTGACTGACTAGTATTATTGCAAAATTGTCTAAATATAGAGCGCTTTCCATTAAATCAGTTAACTTATTTGTACGACTTTTTAAAAAAACGTGATATAACAGTGAGTATGCTTATCTTGATATGCCTTTTCGATGAAGAAAAAACAATTCACGAAAAAATTTACTTAACTTGAAAGAAAAGATAGAAACATCCAAACTTGTAAAAAAAAAGACGCTATTTTTGAAGCATTAGCAAAATTGAGTGATGATATCAGGCTAAGAATTGATAAAAAAATATAAAATGTAGCTTTTTTGTGGATATAAAGAAAACCTTCGATATAAAAGATCTAAAACTCCTTCTGACAAAAAAATTAAGAAACGGATTTCGTGGAAACGGTTGAGATTGGTTCACAGTTACCTATCCAATAGACAGCAACGCATTCAAGTGGATTTTTAGAAAACTGGTGTACCACAAAGTTCGCTTCAAGTTCCACTTTTTTCCTAATTTACATCTAGATAATTCAAAATTGAATTCCATCTTTATTGTTCCGACTTTCGATACGAAAGTAACAGAATATTTGTGCTCGGGGTGGGTTTTTTTTTCTTCAGACAAATTTCGACTTTTTAACTAGCCATTTTTGACGGAATTTTTTAAATATCATTCGAAAGGTATTGTTGTCCTGAGCTCAAACTTGAAAAGATATTTCACCTGTGATCATTTTTCGTAAAGTTACGGGTGTTTAAAGATTGCCATTTCGGCCAATTTGGGACAATTAACGCGCGATATATTTCGCGCTATTAACCCGTAAGCGGAGAGTTATTTCGTCTTAGAAATCGATCCAAATTGGTTACAAGAAGCTTATTTGCCATAATTGCTTTGTTACAAGGAGCAAAATTTATCCTTTTGTATTTTATATGGCGTGTGGGGGGATGATTTTCATAAAAAATTTCAAATTTTAGAAAGAAAAATTTTCATTTTGTTTTATTTCATTGAATTTTTTAAGGTTATTACTGCTCCATAAACCTTAAAAGGCAGTCGAAACATTCAGGGCTTCGCCCTGATACGAGCAGTCTTGTTTTTTTGTCGATGACACATATATCGAAATGTTTCGAAATGATTTGACAAATATTTTGAAATGATTATGTGCAAATAAAACAAGACTGCTCGTATCAGGGCGAAGCCCTGAATGTTCCGACTGCCTATTAAGGTTTATGGAGCAGTAAAAGCATTAAAAAATTATAAGTAGTAAAAAAAAAATGAAAAAGTTTTATCTAAAATTTGAAATTTTTTAAGAAAATCATCCCCCCACACGCCATATAAAGTACAAAAGGATAGATTTCGTTACTTGTAACACATCAATTTTGGCAAATAAGCTTCGTTAAACCAATTTGGAACGATATCTAAGACGGATTAACTCTCCGCTTACGCGTTAATAGCGCGAAAATATCGTTGGTTAATGTCCCAAATTGGTCAAAATGGCAATCTTTAAACCCCCGTAACTTTACGAAAAATGATCACAGGTGAAGTATCTTTTCAAATTTGAGCTCAAGACAACAATACCTTTACAATGATATAAAAAAATGCCGTCAAAAATGGCTAGTTAAAAAGTCGAAATTTGTCTGAAGAAAAAAAAACCCACCCCGAGCACAAATATTCCATTACTTTCGTATCGAAAGTCGGAACAACAAGGCTGAGTTCCGATAAAACAATACTAACAAGTTTTGATAAAAATCAAAACTTTTCAAAGCTTTACTTGGATTTTCTTAGTAAAACTTTTGAAGGTAAGTACTATTGTGAAAATTTTGGCGCTGCAATATTTTATCAACCACATGTCAAGCCAGTGATTCAATATGGCTCATTTATGTATGGATGGTGGAACGAGTTTTCTCTTTCAAATCAAAAACCAATGCTCTAACAGAAACTAATGATCTACTTCAAACGAAATTATGATAGTATTTCTCAAATCTCATTAAATATTAAAATCCTGACAGTTCGTGAACTCTGAGTTTATGACCTGTTAAAATTTTGTTTTCTTTCAAACTGTTTTGTTAATACTTATCTATTGGTATATAAATCAGTGCAACGATGCGACCGGCATATCCTGACAAGGTTACAGTTCTACACTAAAAGAATACACCACCAAGTATTCCTATACCTATTCCTATAATCAAAAACTTTATATTTTAAGAGAAAAACAAAACAAAATGCAACCAGCGGCCAATTTTTACCATATTTTCCGATTAGAGATGCACTTCTAGCCTGAAACTATGACCCTCCAAATCTTTCTAGTTTTTGAGAAATTGCAATTGTTTTCAAAATGTACAAAGAGAACATCTTAGAATTTTTTTAATTAGCTGAAACTTGTGCACAAACTGCTTCAAAGCCTTCCAGTTCTGGACTGGAACTTTGATACTTACTTGATTTTTACAGATCGTTTTTATCAGGTTTTACTTGTTGGTTTCAAAACCTAGTCATTTAATATTTTATATATTTTTTTCTGAGAATGCTCTAATCGATATCATAGTTTTCGTTCAAACTTTTGAGCGGAGCAAAAATCCACAAATTCAGAAATATACTTTCATCTTGGTAGTCTATTTGAGTTTTTGGGTACATTAATTTTTTTCTTTCAAAGAGTTTATTTTTGTTGTTGTGTTTATCGAATTGATAATGTTTGATTAAGTTATTTAAAACGGGAAGAATCTGAGTTGAAACTCAATGTGTCTTGTCTTATATCTATCCAATATTTAATTTGATGATATTTTGTATTGTTTCTAAAAGTATAACCATAACTTTGGAGAAAAGAAATTCTGAATTTATGTTTCACTTTCAGTTAGAAATAATTAATGAACGCTTTGGTATTCAGTTCATGCGCAGATGGTAAAATCAAGTCAAGTGGCGCATAGAATACTTAAAAATTGATGAACTATTCATTGTTTAGTCACCGCGTTTCTATGTTAATTTTTTTTTTGAAGCTTTGCACGAAAATTTTATTTCATCGCATCTTTTTTATGAAGTTTTACATACCATACAACTTGTTCAGAGCCATCGAAGGACCTGACTTGGAAAAATTTATGAGTATTAAAATTACATGCGTGCGTTTTGCTATCCTAACCGTCTGACCTGACTGAAAAAACTCGTCTTACTTTTCCCCTCATTCTCTAAATACATTATTCGTCTTTCCCTCTTTTCTCCCTTGGTTGTTTTTTTTCTTTTCCCCAGAGTTCGTTTGAATTCAGGCACATTTTTGTTTGTCCTACTGCAGTGCATTGCGTAGGTATGGCTCGGTAGTTGATGCTATGCGTAACGCTGCAAATTGAGCGATTTTCCTTTTTGTGGCTCTGTTTGTCTATTCTACCTTTCTCTCTTTTTTCTTAAGCGCGGAACAAAATAGAAAAAATGTCTGCATTACTTTTTAATCCAAGCAACAGCATAGAGAGATTTCCACCTTCGATTTTGCAATCTGAATTTTATTGCTTTGTTCTTCCCCTGTAGAGGTTCTACCAGCACAGCAGTAAAATGCAAAATGCATCAAAATAGACGCCATCTCACCGCTATGCTCAAAATCGGCATACCGATCTTACAATTCCAATTCAATAATACTTTAAAGGGGTACCTTGCGTATAATCCATAAGAGCGTACCAACAAGTATATATCAAAACTGGCCGAGTGAGCTTTTCCAGGTAATTTTCAACTTCAAATTAGTGTATACAAAAGAACAAAACTGACTTAAACCCACTTTAAAAAACTATATGAGAAAGTTTTACAGTCATTTTTTGTTTTTGGTGTTTAAGCTCGCTTGCTTATAATAGCATCAGCGTTACACCATGCCTTTGATTGGGAATAGTTTATCCCCTTTTTTACGTCAAAAGTGAAAGAAAGTAAAAACATGTAACTCTATTTGCATATTTGAGCAGATATATTTTCACAGCCGCCACGTCATTACAATTTTTATTTAAACAGCCTTATTGCGCTTATAACTGCAAAATCACTTCAGAACCGGTAGGCAGATACACGCACATACCTTAGAATCGATTACCATCACGATCACATCACGTGGTTGCATTTAAGAAGTCTGTCCGAGAAATCGAACAGTTGCAAATTCCAAGCTTTCTAGAAGAGCCCAGTTTCTCCAAGGATTACTTCCTGTTTTCCACAACTGATCCTTATTTGCCTGGCGAAGTGAACGAAAAAAGAATTCACTGTGCCTTACAAACAGGAGCAAAAAAGACACCACGGAGCAGCACATTGAAAAGATATTGATAAAAAATTCACCTCCCCCGTGTTGTAAAATAGCAGTAAAAGGAAAAGCGGGAAAAGTATCTGCATTATACTGACCATTCGTCAAAGCCACATAGATCGCCTCTTAGCATATACCCCCAAAACTGAACGCAACTCAATTCTACTTTCGATTGGACCATTATACTTCATCTAATTTAATTTTCCTACGCGTGGTTTTCAGCAAAATACGAGCTAGTAAACTATAGATGGTGTTATAAAAATCGATTACTTTGTTATAAATTTCTTATTTTTTTCGCAATATATTGTTGCTATACATTCTTGAGTTAACTTGACTCCAATATCTCAATTTCAGACCGGCAAGACTGCGTGCTTTCTCCTCTCTCATTTCCTGGGTTAATTTCCGAGGCTTGTCATATATAAGAGATAACAGCAAGAAGTCTTCTATGTTTGCTGGGGAAAAATAAGATTATCGGGGTTTCATTAATTTCAAAAGACGCCTCTCCTTATCTCAATATCAAATATTGAAGTTCCCTTTTGAGCTTTCTCTTTTCACGCTGCTGGGAACACAGAGTAGCCAGACTGAGTCAAGATGAATTTCGTCGTGAAGCAAATGGTCGGAGGTAAATAGTCTTTTGTTTTCATTGAAAACCGTTTGTAAGCCAAACAATTAAATTTTAAATTCAGGCCGCCGATAAATCATCTAAACATTTAGCGTCAATTTTAGCAGATGGAAGATAAACAATTACAGAAGGTAATATCTGTTGGGCAAATTCACCAAGTATAATCAGTGGCGCACCGAGCTCCCTCAATTATGGATGCCAAATTTGTCCAAAGGGTTCCACTAAAGGTTCCAATAAACACTAAGTATCTTTTAAGGACGCTTTTGGTGCCCATGCATACTAAACTTGAGCGGTGAGCGCGCCAAAAAAGACCAAAAAATTCCAATTTTGGCATACTTTTTCAGTTTTTCATTTTTTTGGACAATTTAGGGTTTTTATTGGGTTTTAGAGGAGCTCCGAAAATCACTTTCGTTGACCTTTAAAAGTTCGAGTAAATTTCCAGTTTTTTTTGAAAAGGAGCGCCAAATTTTTCTTACAATTTTCGCAAAAGTATGCAATTTATTTAACAAAATTTTGCCCCGAAATTAATCATTTTTTGTTTTTCTGCCAATAAAAAATTACACTAGAACTACCGGATCAAATGCTGACTCAACTATATCAAAGTAGCCTCTTATGTAGCCCAACAATATTTCAAAAGGGTATATTCTAGATCTAACATTAAGGGAGCGTTTTTGGAGAACTAACGCACCAAAAATCTAAATTTAAGATTATCAGCTCTACAATGAGGCAGTGTCTTTTTGTTATGATTTGCTATGGCTAAGAGTTTTTTTGCAAAATTTTGTTGTTTTGATTAGATTTTTGTTAAGGTTTTGCCGATTGGGAAAATGTTCAGCCCCAAAATTAATCTTTTTTCTTAATATACCTTATTAAGCTTCATCTTAGCCGATTATTAGATCATTTTTGTTTTTGGTATTTCACTATCTGTCATATTTCGTCTCAAGTGTTTGGCAAACACTTCATTGCAAACCCTAAACAATCCTCGTTAGCTGAGTTATGATACTCAACATATTACATGGTGGCATAAAGTCATAGGTTTTTCAGATTTTGCATGTTGCTTACAGAGCCCAAAAGATGTATAAAATGATGAAAAACTGTGGCCTGAAAAATTGAAAACCAAAACTTGTGAGCAAAAACAGTGATAGTTTTTTTTTCATCAATTAGAACTCTTAACAGGAAAAAAGGCTGATTTATTTAGAGAAATATTTTGACAGGTTTTGTTTCAATGAACGTACATTACAACAAAATTGCACATATCAGAGTTCAGGGTAAAATCTCGGAAGTTCTGACTGCCAGTATACCAAATAAATTCAGTATACCAAATAAATTCAGAACTGATGATTTTTTTTAAAAAAAATTTCGACTTGATTGTTTTGTCTTCGAAAGTTTTTGGCGGGTGTTGCACAGTAGTTTTGATTGTGATTGTTTCTAGTAGAAATGTTTTGAAAGTTTTGAAATATCGTGTTTTTTTACACTTACTGGCGTCTTTCTTTTTATTTGTGATTTTTTTTGTTGTGGTTTAGCTACCTTACCGTTGCGTTTTAGTTGCATATTTGTCAACAGTGACCTAATTGGACTAATTTTCAAGCTTTTAATGTTTTTAAATGTTCTGCAATTTCTTTTTGTAGTATTTGTTTCAAACTTTTGTGTTCAAGTTTTTTGTAATTTCAATGTATAATTTTTCCGCTCATTTTGATCTTTGTTTTTAGCAAGCAATCGAAAGTTCTTTTCGAAAGTTCTACCCTGGTGCTTTTGGTGGAAATGCAGTTTGTTTGGTTCCAAAGATTTTAGAAAAGTTCTTTCATGAACGTTGCAGTTTTTGGATTATGAGTGTTGGACCGAAACCTCACTTTTTTGTATCCTTCTATCTAATAATTATCGGAGAGAAATAAATAGAATTTGTGTAGCCGGAATCCACTATAATACACTATAAGAATTGCAAAAAAGATTTTCAGCCGATGATTTCTTCAGCATAATTTGTTTCATGATTTCTTTCGTAACAGCCAGGTTATCTTTCGAACTTTGACATATCGTTATGAATCGCAAGTGGTGCAAAGCTCCATTTTTGCCTCTATGTGACAACTATAGTATTCGTTTTACTTCTCGATCTCGAGCAAAAAATACCAATGGAATTTGGGAAAGTCTTAATCGAAAAGTTTTATTGGTCAGCTAAATAAAATCATTTTAAAACTTTTTTCAAAATAAACATTCATCGAGTTATTCTAAACAAAACTCATTTCTGAAAAATTTTGAGTCTAATATAGCTGAAATAGATTTCGCCATTCAGTTGAGAACTCATCTGACGGTGTTTTTGTTATAGTTTGATTGGCTTTATTTTTGTATAATCGAGGTTTTATAAAAAAAAAATTTTCCCAGTAAATTACAACATTACCAGGTCAAACTGTGCGCTGGATAGTCGCACAATTTTCTATCTGTTTCTTCCTGGATTCCAGGGACAATCCCTTAAACATGCTCACAACATTATCAGGCCAAACTCTGCACAAGATAGTCGCACAATTTTTGCATCTGTTTCTTCCTGGATTCCAGGGACAAGTCCTTAAACATGTTCAAAAGTGCAAGTAGATTCCGTTTACAAAATTTCCTAGGATTCCACGTACACATACCTGTAATGTAAATTTTGTCGGTATTTTAGTTTTGTTGCAGATTCCGCAATGAGCGAACATCGGTAGTTGTTCCAGATTCCGCAAATGTAATTGGATTTCGCATTTGTAAATGGATTCCGAAATTGTATGCGGATTATGCTCACAATTTGTGCATTCCGCTTGCAGTTTGCGGATTCCACTTACGGTTGCGGATTCGACGACAAAATAATTATACTAAACCCACATGCTATGATTGCAATGATTTGTTTACGGATTTCAAAAACTAATCCGGATTTCGCAAACTTTGTTGCGGACTCCACATCTTTTTTTGCGGGTTCCCAAAAAATGCTCTGTTTGAGCAATCATGAGCAATACAGTGATTAAGTTTTTTGTCGGTAGAATCCAAAACAGCAATGAAGATTCCGATTCCGCAACAACTCTGATTTTGGCATGTTGCAGAATCCGCTTACAATGCAAAACGCACAGTTTGGCCTCGTAATGACCAATAATATGGGCGAGTTTGATAAAGGTAAAAAAAATGATGAAAATTGATTTAGAAACTGATTTCATCGTAAACGCATGATCTCTTATTAAAATGTTTGGATGTGATTTTTGAATGAAAATGAGAAAAAGAGCGGTATGCATAAATTAACACGATGAGTTTTATCATTTCAAGAGCGAAAGTCATATGTCAGCTTTCTCAACTTGCTCTTTATTTATCAACCGTTGAAAATCAAAATTAAAAGAAGACTTTTTATCAGAACAAATGTTGATTTGAAAACGTTTAATTTTTTGGATTCTGTCTTTTTACTCTCGGGAAAGCGAGTGTCTTGTAATCGGGAAGCTAGACATTTTTCCTTTTAACAATTTTTCTTTTTTATAATTAACTTTTTTTATGAATTTTCGTAAATTGGGGCTTCTTTCGCATTTGGCCTAGAGATAGCACCACTGCCTTTGCAGACTAAGGTCTTCGGTTCAAATCCCGACGACCGTGTTTTTTTCAGTATTCATGACATTTAAAAATTCTTTCATCTGCTTTTTCGGCTTAGTTGCCCCATCAGTGATTTTTTATGCCATGTAAGCAAGAATCACGGTAAGTGCAAGTGTTTGGCCACATCACGGATCGGCACGTTACGGATTTTTTTGTCCTGTAAGCAAGTATCATGGTAGTTGGAACTAGTGTCTGCTCAAAAATTGTCGGCTTTGTTTTCGCTTCGTAAGTTTTGCTTCTTTGCTAATTAAACAATAAAAAAGTCGTCTTAATTGCCTAAATGTTCTGTTTGATCAAGTATCTTGAAATAGTATGGTATTGGTTTTTTGTTTTTGAGACGCTTTGGATTTTTTTCACTTTGTGCTAAAAATTTAAATTTTCTGAAAAACGACTTTAAAAAAAACATCAAAAGAAGGAGCGTCTACTCTTCTCTGTGCCTGCATACTACCCTAGTCTTTTTTGCTTCACCTCTCTCAGAGGCATATCTTTTCTCTGTGCCTGCATACTACCCTAGTCTTTTTTGCTTTACCTCTCTTAGAGGCATATCTTAGAGGTTAGTTTAAATGGATAGAATGGTTTTACAAAACTCCCAAATTGACCAAATTTTCTACACATAAAATTATGACCGTATGAGTAGTCAAACTTTGTTTTTTTAAACCGTTTTTGAACTTTTTTGTCTTTCATCGAAAATTTGTATCTGAGTTCAGCCCAAAGAACGGGTTGTGGGTTGTCAAATACGCGACTCAGTCCAAATTTTTTTTACACTAGAATTAATGGCCCGTGGAAAATTCAAATTACCCTCCCAATTTTATCGAAATTAGCGTGAATATCGTGAATATTAACAAGTTGCGTGAATATCTTTTGTATACGCAATTACGCCCAATGTTTTAGGCAGAAAAATATGATTCCAGAAAATGTCAAACTTTTAATTTGTTGATCGGTTTTTGGACTCTTCTCGATAACTATCTTGCCACATCTGATATCGTAGATTTAATCAAAACAACATGTTATTGTAGGCCTTTTGATTTTACTTGAAAACTACCGTGCCAATTTTCAGCATGGAAAAGGCTCATTAAGAAACCCTGTTTCTCTACTTAACGGCCACGAACTGCTTTTGCAGAAAAAAGTTATGGATTTCAAGAACTTCTGACCGTTTTGAAATTTCTGACAAAATACTTTATCAAATCTGATATAAAAGTTTCAATCAAAAGAATGAGAGTTTTTCCTACAGAAGCAGCGTTTTTTTTGTCGTTGGAAAAATTCCAATTTTTTGAAAATTTTCAGTCTTGTCACTTATTTAAGTAGAGAAAATCAGGTTTTTGGGCAAGTTATTTTTGTAAAAATATGCATTTCATCCTGCATCAGTATAAAAAACTCAAAAATGTCAAACACATACAATCAATTTTAGC